AATCAGACCCTTGTGGTATCCTTCCGGTCACTCCGGAAACCACTCCCAATGCACTTCAAATCCTCCCAACGCACTTAGAGAAATTCTACGACTCGGATCACTGCTGGCAGCGGAAGGTGCCAAAGGCAGAGCGGGCAAGAGACGGAAAAAGGGGTGAATCCGTTGGTTCGCCACCACGGATCGGACCAACCTAGTCTTGAAATGGCGTCGGCCCAATTACTCTTAGACGGAATGTATTCCCAATACATCCAAGTGCGCAAAGCGTACAGCATGACATGAATCAAACCACACATGCGCTCCAGATCGGGTGACTGGGAACGGCCCCGGATCAGACACATGAGGCTAGCGACGTTATCGATCAGCCAGATGCCCCGACGACCTCGAAAGGTCTGCGCCCGATATGTGAGGGCATAAATGATCATCACCACCTCCAACTGGGCTATCTGCCTGTCACCGGGCTCCCACAGCTGGTAAACTTCCGGAGAAATGTTGGCGATGAAGGCTTCCCGCACCGGTCCCACCGGATCGTGCCAGACGATTAAAAATCCTCCTGTGCCCTGCTTTGGTTCCTCCAAAGCTGCGTCAGAAGCTACAACAAACCGCAAACATTCGGACGGCCTCACAGGAAGTTCGCGACAGGGTCGATGGCGAAGGATGGAGTGAATCACATCGAAGTTGCGCTGAAGCTCTGGAGTGAGGTCGCGGTTGCGCTCTGTCTGGCGTGCTTTAATGGCTGCCAAACCTGCGCATCCCAACCTTCCGTACATGCCCTGCTCGAGAAAATTGAGCACGCCGTAGAGCTTGGGTGCCTGGCCTGAGGACAGGCTCTTGTGTGCCTGCGCATCGGTGATCATCGCAGCTGTCTTCTGAATCAATCGATCTCGGGCCCAAAACGTCACGAAGCCCCGGCTAAGGTTCGTAAAGTCGTGATCAAGGCCCAGAAAGGTACCGGTAGGCTGCATCAACTGTTTCTTCTCCTCGGCAAACGGGGTACCTAAGAGGGAGTTCAACTGACAGAAAGCTTGTTGGCTGGAGCCGAATCCTGACTGGAGGTCCGTGATGTGGGCATCATCGAAATATAGCGACACCAGACTGTATGTAAGCCGTCGGCCCAGGGCTTCAATGAGGCGGGAATACCGATTGAACGACGTAACCGCGAGCGGAAGGCCGAAGAGGAGGGATGAATACACCTGAAAGGCGGGTTCCCCCCGCTCGGCATGCCAGAAGCAGACGATACAGCCGCGGCTCTCTGCCTGACTGATAGGGGAATGCCGATAAGCGTTCGGCCAATCTTCCCCTCCTGACAGCCACTCGTCAGCAGTCGTAAGAGTGTGCCACTGTTTGTCTGTCAACAGTGAAGCGACCGCCCCCACATGTTGTGCTGGGCGCAGCGGCGAGCATAAAACCAACTTGTTCCAATCCGACGACCTCTCAGACTGGCCTCCTGTATCTCCATTGTCAATGATCCGCTTTTTGCCCGAGGATTGGACAATCACACATCGGGGGATGAGGCGGAATGGTTCTCCTCGTAGTTCTCGCAGGAGCTGCGCATGGGTCAAAGGTGCAGAGCAGAAACCTTGGGCGGCATCGTTCAGCGATTGCTCCAGCAGCACGGCATCATGTCTGCCGGGTTTGAGCGAGGCGAGGGTCTTGTAATTGTGGGTTTCCCAGTCGTCGAGCACGTCCTCCATGGTGAGGATACGGCCTGGCTGCTCCGGAAAGACCCCGTAGGGTGGTGCCGTACCTACAGCTGGCAGTCCCGCTACCAAGCCGTAAGGGTACGTGATATCCGCCCAGGACGTTAGGGTCACCAAGAGGGCTGTTAGTCCGATGTCCCTGGAACGGGTGACTGCCCGAATCGCTGATGTTTGGAAAGTCCGCAGGTGCTCGCCCACGCTCCTCCATCGCTGCTTCAGCTCCTTCAAGACGCCTAGGCTCTGCTCGCGGAGTCGTGGTAGGTCCTCGGAACGTGATGCATAGAGTTCAGCCACAAACCATAGATCATCGTCCAGAAGGGGGCGACTGCTCAGTCGGGATGGGTGCCTGGCTTCGAAGGCAAGCACGCTGAAAGTGGGTGTCCGGGTCCAGCCCAAAACTCAAAAGCGGAGGTAGGGCGGCTCTATGGCTCAAAGCTCCGGCTTGCTGGCCCTCGGCATGACGTTGCCGCTGCCTCAAAGCTGCGCTAGCCAAATGTGGTCCCAGGGGCCCATCTGCCTTGAGATCGTGCTGGTCTCTCCAGCGTGGAAACTCGCAGAACGGTGCCTGATTCAGGAGGTCTTCGATCATCGGGAACTTGAAGTCTTGGAACCATGTACCTGGGAAGAGGCGGCGGAAGCACGTGACAACGCCTTCTTGGGTGAATAGGCCCACTCGTGCTGGGATGCTCGCAGCCACTCCGCGGCTGGAGATGACCCCCAACCGCAATGCTCAAGATGCTATCGAGTGATGCCTCTGGGCTTGCCCTCCTGCCGCTGCCAGGTAGCGAGGTGCTTCCGGGGCTGTGGCGTCAAAAACCAACCCTGCCAGCGCATCGGCTTCGCAAACGTCACTGTCATGTGGGCAATCGCAGGCTAAGGTGCAGCCCGCCAGCTCTGGGAGTTCCGCCGCCTTGGATGACATGATGAACTCAACATAGCAAGGAAGCCATTCATCTGCGGTACAATCGTGTCCTGGGGTGTACGGAGAGCACCATTTCGACAGGGGCAACTTGTGGCTGTGATGCCCTCGCCCTACGTAGATGCACTTGGCGGGGAGGTGGCCGTCCACCAAAAGGTCAACTGCTCGGCGCACGCGAGGCACTCGTGCACGCTCGCGCGGGTCGATTGGTCGCAGGCCCAGCTGGATCGCCAAAGGAGTCATAGCCCAGCTGCGCAGAGAGCGGGGGTCATAGTGAAGCCAGTGCTCCCGGCGGCCCACAGCCTCAGTCGGCGGCATCCGAGGGACGCGCAACTTGGCTCGACCGACACGTACTGCCCACCAGCTAGTGGACACCGCAATGGCGAAGGCCAGCGGGGCTGTGTACTCAGCTTCCTCATGGCTAGGGAAGACTCGCTGCCCATCCAAGGTGTAGGGCTTCCACTCATCTGGGTCGTGCTGATGATGGCATTGGAGTGGCGGCCACTGGGAGATCTCCTGGATGTTGTGCCTGAGTCTCTGCTGCTTGCACCGCGCCCCCATGAAGCAACAGGCTGCGTAGCAGGTGTCCTGCCAATCGCCGGACGCCAACATCTGCTTCTCACGGGGCAGTTCCCAATGGAGGCTCCTCGCCGGATTCTCCCGCAGTGACACTCCACCGCGATCGGCCAATTCCTGGATCTCCTGGAGGACAAAGTCACAGGCCTGGTTGTCCTTGGTCACTCGCCGAAGGTCACTCCCTCGGAGGTGTGGAAGGCCTGTGGGGTGTTCGTCTGACCGCAGGGGTTTCGGAGCGGGTCGGCCGTCCTCGAACTTCCTGGGAATCTCTCGAGCGCGGGACTTGGTGCTACAGTCCAACGCGGCACAGATGCAATCGGCTTGCTGCAACATCTCGTGAAGCTCTTGCTGAAACTCCGGGTGCGCGAGGTCATGTTGAGGGTTGATCAACCAGTCAATGGTGATGCATCTCCAGCCGCAAAAGATGAAGGCTCTGGTAAGCGGTGC